AGCTAGAAGAGGATGTTTAATGTTATCACAAACAAATACTATCTGTTGCAGGTGATGGATTTGTTAATTACCTCAACTTGAACGCTGTACAGTATATACACGTATAGAAACATCATGCTATACTCCCTAAATATGTACAATTGTTTTGTGTCAATTAGAAATGAAAACTTACATTTTTTTTCCAGTAGACCTTGAACATGTCCCTTTGGAGAGTTCCCTTTGTTGACATAGGAAGTGTTGTGAAGGTGGACTGCTCCGAGAATGGGGCTACAAATCTAGTGCTTCCTTTGTGCCATGCGTGTCAGTTTTTGAATTGAGGCTTATTTTGCATTGGTCTCAAAGAGTTTGAGCTGGGCCCACCAATTGCAGAGAAAGTGACAGTTGCTCATGTAAATTTTCCCATGACTAGGAAAGCCTTCCAGTGGATGCATGCAGAGCACTCCCTTGTAAGGACACATCCTTGTCTCCTTTGGTGGCTGGCTCCCAGGCTTCTGCTCTGCTCCTGCCGCTCCCTGCTGAAAGCCAGGAAGCCTTCCATGATGCCTTCAATCATAGGTATTCATGAAGGGAGCGTGCAGCGAGAAATCATAATATTTTTAAAAAGATTTATTTATTTGAGAGGCAGAGTGGAGACAGAGAACTCTTCCATTTCTTAGTTTAATCCCAAGTGGATGCAACTGTTAGGATGGCTCCAGCTGAAGCCAGGAGCCAGGAATTCCATCCTGGTCTCCCACATGGGTGCCAGGGTCCCAGGCACATAGGTCATCCACTGCCTTTCAAGGTGCACTTAGTAGGAGGCTAAACTGGAAGCAGAGTAACCAGGTCTCTGGAGATGGCACTTGGATGTAGGCTGCCAGTGTTGCCAGCAGCAGCTTAGCCCTTTGTACCACAACGGCAGCCCTTAAATATAAGATGTTTGCAGTGAGTCTTCAAAGCTATTTATGGAGGTAGATGAAAGTGGCCAAGTTGCAGATTCAACCATGTGTAGAGATCATGTCCTCCTCTCATCCCTGTGTCTCTCCTGTATCCTGTGAGCGGAAGTGGGGTGCTCCTGCTGGCTCCTGGGGCTCCCAGACTCAGTGCTCTCGGGAACCATTACCTGCAATTGCCATGTCAGTGTTCACATCGGCACTCAGTTTCCTCCTGCCTTTCTGCTTTCCTTCCTCATGCGCACTGGACACTTGGAAAATCTGTAGTGAGTGGACAGACAGGGAGGACTGTCAGGATTGTAAGAGGCATGCCATTTAAAGCCAGCTTTCATCTTCGCTCTTGCCAGCTCTGAAGTCATCTCTTGTGTTTGGCTTTGTATGAGCCTCTGAGCAGTATTCATGTGTGGTTTCTCAGCCCATCATTGTCTTATAAAATAGCTGCTCAGAGGCCTGGCCTGTGCACAGAGGCTTTGCCTGCTGCCAGGGTCCTGGCCGTTCTCTCCCTTCTCTCCCTCCCAGCTGAAACTGACCACCATTGTGATACAAGTGTTGTACTTGATGTTCTGGGAGAGGAAACTTTAAGGACAGACCTACAAGTGCCTTGTTGAAGTTGTGCCTACATTAGGAGCTGTTTTTCCCACCTCCCTCTTTTTTTTTTCATACCCTGAAGAATTTGCATCTCAATGAGATGCAATGATTCTCAATGAGAATAAAATCAGGAGAGTGATTGTACGCTAGTAATTTATGTGGCATCGTGGTCTCAAGTTAGAGAACTGGGTTCGCCTGGCCTGTAGTTTGATGACTGTAAGCTTTAAGGTTTTTTTTTTTCATTTTTGCGTAAAAAGAGGAAGAAAAGTTACTGAAATCATATGGTAGTCATCTGTCCTGGCTGGATACTGGATATTGTAGAACTAGGAGTGTGATCAGTATTCTCCTCCAAAAGTTTCCTTAGTACTTTTAGCTGGAAAGTGAAGGGAGCGTGACTTTTTATTACATATCCAGAGAAATGGGGTTTTATGAATTATTTATGTGGACAATTAGATTTGAAGTGGAGACTGGGATATAACGAAGACACAAGTTGACCTCAACCTGGTGATTACCATGCATTGAGCAAAAGCCACAGCATTAGGCCCAGGGTCAAGCTTTCTGTGCCAGCGACTCAGCCCTGTGCACAGCCGCTGTTGGAGGACTCAGTGGCTGCTGAGTGTGGGACAAGCAGTGAAGGCTGATACGGACACCTAGACTGGGAGACTTGTAGTTACTGTGCAGAAGGGAAGAGGAAGCATGGGGCCGAGCTAGGCAGTGGCCCCTTAGACTGTACTCCTTTAGTAGGCTTCGTGGGGAGGCTCTGGAGCAATGACAGCACACCTGAGTGCCAGGCTAAGGTTTTTGCCAGATTGGCTGCTGTCCTTGGAGTCCCTAGGGGACCAGGAGTCCAGGTGTTTTGCCAAATCAGCCATTGTCTGCTCTGGTATGGTAGGGCCACTGCAGACCTAACCCCCTCCCATGTGCCTTCCTTCCTCCTCTCCCTCTTCCCCTCCATCTGGCCTGCCCCGACCCACCTGAATCTCCTTTGCTAAAGGGTCTCATTGTCGATTACACTTCCCTGTTTTTAACTCGATGATTTTGTCCCATGGCCTGCTCTACTGAACTTAAGTTCTTCTCTGACATGGCTTGTTTGGTAGTAACGTCCAGTTCTTAGGCCAGTGGGAGTAGAGGAAGCAGAAGGGCTTTGTGGAAAAGACCGGAGAAGGGAGGAAGAAGGGTGAACACAATGCTTCATAGGTTTTCTAGATAGAACAGACAGCTGAGTCATGAACCCCAGAAAAGGCACTTGACTCACACTAATGAAATCCCTCCTGCATCTGAGTTGCTGCTTTCCAAACCTGAGCACGCATCAGAATCCCACAGAAGGTGTGTCTCCACGGAGATTGCTGGGCACCATCCCCAGACTTTCTGATTGACAAAGTCTAGGGTGGGGCCTGGGAATTGGTTTTACTATCAACTTCCTGGGTGGCACTGGTCTAGAATCCACACTTTTCTGGGCCTAAAGTCCTAGAGAAGAAAGCAAAGCTGCAAAGGGAGGGACTGGCCATGCCGTAGCTCTCTACCTATGGAGGAGAAAGGATTAAGGTCCAGTGAGCCCAGAAGAGAAGTTTCAGATTAGCCTCAGTATCACCCCCCACCCTCGTCACAGGATCCTCCCTGCTGCCGCGTGCTGGCTTTTCAGAAATGGGGAGGAAATGTTTATGTCTTTGTACACAGAGAAGTGGGTTTAACAGGTGCCCTTTCTTGATATCTGCCTGGGTGTCTGGTGGTGCAGGCCACCAGAGGGGGAGAGCAGTGAGCAGCATTTCCCCAAGCAAGGGCAGGTTATAAAAAGGCATGGCCTGCAAAGGGTCCTGTAAAGGAAGGCATCTGACGAAAGGGCCAGACCTCGGTTCATTCTCTTGTCTCTCAAGCAGAGTCGGGGTGGGGCAGTATTTGCTGTTGTGCTTCTCAATTTCCTCCTGCTGTTGGTACTATCCAGGGTCCTGCTTGGTTTCCTAACGTGTTATCTGTGGCAATGCTTTATCCTGGTCCCAAAAAGGAAAAAAACCAAAGCAGTCGGCAGGGGTCCTGCTGGAAGGGTGGGCAGGGACCTGAGTTAATGGTATTTTGAAAGCTTCCATTGTCCATACCTGACTTGTCAAGCCTCTGCTGAGAAGTTTTTCTGCTTTTGACTTTATGGCAGAATGACAGCACGTTTTTGTTCCCCTGATGTTTCTTTGGAATTGTGAAGATGCTGTTAGTTTGAGTACTTGGAGCCCTAGTTGAGGGGTGGCATATTAATTGGGCTTTCATTTTTTATCTAATATAGAACACCCTGCAGCACTAAATAAAAATGTCACTGTGTAAAAGTGTAAAGGCTTTCTGTGACAAATGTTTTAAAAGATTCATGAAGGGCTGCAGATTTGATTTATCTGATCCCTTTTCTGTGATGTATTCCTGTTTAATATTAGCTTCAATATTTGAACCATGAAGAATTTTCTCAAAATAAAAACTGTGGTGAATCAGTTCTATGTGAACAAAATAACACCATGCCCCCCTTTTGTTTTGTTTTGTTTTTGAAATTTGAGAGGCAAAGACAGAGATAGGGCATTCCGCAAATGCCCATAAAAGCTGGGCCAGGGCCAGGCAAAAACTGGGAGCAGGGAACTCAGTCTGGGTCGCTCACATGGGTAACAGGGAGCCAACTACTGAAGTCTGCTGCTGCCTGTGCAATAAGCGGGGGCTTCAGTGCAGCTCCTTCTGCTGTGGGAGATGGCTGTCTTAACTGCTGGGCCTAGAACTCAGCCTCGCCAGGAGACTGTACATCAAGCAGTTGAGTCCGCTTCTTGTGTTGGGTGGGCAGGGATGCTTGGTTTCCCAGCAGCTTGAATTGTCCCTGGGGAAACTCTTGGTTATTGGGGAGTCAGTGTAGCTGGCTGCCTGGTTGAGATGGCTGTTGGCTTGTTCTTATTAGACACTGTCCTTCAGTATCTGTCACAATCCCATAAGTGTGGGGAGTGGGAAGAGAGGGTCACACCTCACCTTCAGAATCCTTAGGTTGGGGTGTATTTGGGCGAGTTTGAGCTGCTGAGTCACCTGTATTCTCAGAAACACCTTGAGGGAGACAATATCCAGTCTTCTTCATGGATGGCCCATAAATGATGGCTGATAAGAGAATTCACCACAAGTGAAGGAAATTAGTTCCAAAAATCCATAATCTTTTTTTGAACTAGTCAAAACCTGCATTGAATCTTGTGCATTGGACTTTTATTTAAAAAAAAAAAACCCTGGAGGATTGTTTAAAAGACTAGAGGCGAGGGAACCACTAGCAGAAAACAGTTGAAACTGGTAGAAAGGAAAAAGTTGTTTTTATCTTTGGAACAGGTGTTTGCTTATACTCCAATACCTGGAGCAATGTATGAACTTCAGTGTGGCTTTTAGAACCGGTTTTGAATATTACATTGTTATGCCCTTAATTTATTCATTTGCCTTTTGGAGATAATCATCTTAATAAGTCAAATTATCTTTTCTGCCCATCAGACTATCGGGAAGAAGTTACCTCCAACTACAGCAACTCTGGACTCAACAAAAACTGAAATGGACAGCAGGACTAAGAGTGAGTTTCCTAAATTATCCATTTTACAGTGCAAAGCAGATAAGGGTTTTCTCATCCCTGAAATGCTTTTTGAAAAAAATCCCTGAATAATCTTGGCAGCTTTTTCACATAAAAATGTGCATGAATGTGATTCATTACATACTCACCATTAGGATGCACCCAATTTAGATGTGCAACTCGTGACGGGTTTTTTTCCTATCATTCCCTATCATATATGTATATGTATATGTGCATGTATATGTATATACACTGCCCATGTAGTGCAGAGTTTGGCTTTATCCAATATGCTGAGTACTTTGAGTAGTTTGGGTGGTGGAAAGATTCTTACAGAATGCAGGTTCTTTAGGCCTTCATGGACCTTCATGTCAGAGAAGCTGACCACTCAGCCACCACCAGACCACCTTGACCTCTCCCTGGCCTTCTCGGCACATCTGTGCTTCGGCCTCTAGATACCTCTGTGATGTGCGCACGTGGGATATTCAAGGCCTTGTGGAAGGACTCAGCGAGTGAGTGAAGAGGATTATCAGGGTTTTTGAACTGTGGTAGTCAGTGGAAATGTCAATTGAGGAACATGTTTTTAGTTTTTAGTTGCCACATTAAAAAGAAGCAATTGAGCTTCCTTTGTCATTTTTTAACCCATTATTGGCAGTATTATCACTCAATATGTAATCCATGTAAAATTATTAAATGAGATGCTTTCTTGCTTTTTTCCCCGGAAAGTCTTCATCATCCTGCGTGTATTCATAGGCGTGGCATATCCAGCAAAAAGTAGCCGTGCTCCCAGCGCCCCACAGCCATGTGTACCTAGTGGTGACTTTGTTGGGCGCTGTGGTTTTATGATGCTTCTGGGGCCTGAGAACACAGTCCTAAATATTCAGTTCCCAAAAGCGTGCAGGTGCATCCTGGCTCCAGCCAACACCTTGTTCAGTCCCGCAGACATCATGACGAGGGCGTGGTTTGCTGGTGCACTTTGACCACAGCTGCGTGGAGTGTTTAGCTGGGAGTGAGGAGGGCCAGTTCTGGTACTTACTAGCCCTGTGACATTGTGCAAATACTTTGGTTGTTGTGGTCCTTCTCTGTACTGTCTGCAAGTCGGGAGATTGTGCTGGAGAAAGGCCCTGAGCTTTCTCTCAGCATCTTGATCCTCTGGTTTAATTCTAAAAGCTGTAGGGCGCATTGTATAAGGATTCTGCATTCAGAGGACTGGGAAACTGGGGAGACCAAGGGAAGGATGGGAACAGTTCTGTGGGAGTGTGAGAGGCTGTGATGGGTAGCGATGTAAGTATGCCTGGAAAGGGGTGGCAAGGCAAGAATTATGGACAGGGGAGCCTTGAGGGGTGTTTTCCAGCAGATGTTTTTCATGGATTCCAAGGGCAAGAATTTCTGCAGTTTAATCTCACCTCACTTTCATTAATAGTGGCAGAGTGGCATAGTTGTTCTCCCACGATCTCTGTTTAGTGGCATCTCAGTCCATGGAGAGCTGCCTCCATTTGGACCATTTTCCCACTCTCAGAATATCTGCATTCTGGTGGAAGATGCAGAGGGCTGGCCAACTCTTAGAAATGACCTTGGGCTCAGGATGTGAGCTTCCTCCTGGTCAGCGCGGTAGGAGAGTTAAGCAGCTCCCTCTGTGTGGGTGTCCCTCTGGCTGAAACGCAGGTTCACACCAGGAACAGGAATCAGGATGACTCAACAGTGTCCAGGGGACTTGGGGCTTTCTGAATGAAAACGCAACTCAGTTGATCAGATTTATGGAAACCACCACAATCTCCAGTCCCTCCTGAAACATAACATTTATGATACTGAAAGTCATTGGAAACTCATGCTGGGGAACAGATTGTTTTAATTTTCATAACAAGAGGAAAACTGTCTAAATATTCATAATGAAGTGCCCTGAGGTGCCTCCAGCCTACCACATCTGGAGTTTCCCTCTTTCTTATTACAATTGATGCAGATTTGTAGCTTCCTTGGGATAGAAAAAATAGCCTGAAGAAAGCACTGTTTAACATCTTTCCGAACAGATAGCTTAGTTTTATAAATGCAGAAGGCCAACTGAGTCCTTGGGTTTGGAAGAGAAAATGCCTTGACGGGGTTTGTACAAGGACAAATGAGGTTTTCAAGTAAATTACAACCACAGCGCAAAGGCTGTGTTGTTCTTGCTGAGCTGCACCTGCTTTCGTAACAAAACACACTGCCTTTGCCACACTCTGAACTGACTTGCTTCTTTGGAGCTGCCCCTGTGATGGTCCCATATGGCGCCTTGTTGCTGTCATTGCATTGTTGGTTTCTCTGGGGCTAGGCTCTGTCTTCTGTTGTAAATCTCCATCACTCTGCCTAGAAAGTGCTCAGCGTGCAAGATAGCAGTGGAGCTAATGGAGCGCTGTGAGTGGTTCCTGATGTCATGGGCTCTAGCTTGGACCCCCTTCCTAAGCATTCAGCCATCAGGAAGAAAAGGATGCATTTGCTCGCCCACCACCCTGTTTCTGGGTCTGCAGGTTTCTGAGGCTAGCGGTGGTTGTCAGTGTTCCACGGGGCCAAAGAGAACCTTTGTTTCTTGTAGTCAGTACTCTAGGCCAGTCAGCCCACATCTACCACAGACAAACTTGCAATCTGATAGAGTCATTTGGCACGTTGCCACAAGGGAGACTGCAAACCAGGTGGGCTCGGGATGTCACCCAAAGAAAAAAGATAAACAAGGTAGTTCCAGGTTTCAGTGAGAGGTTGAACTCAGTGAAATGTAAACGATGAGGTGCTTTGATAGACGCAGAGCAGGACTGTGTGGGAAGGGCTCGCTCTTCAGTCTGGGCTATAGGGTAACCAGTTCCCGTTTCCTTGGCAGCTGAGACAGATGTGCAGTGTTGCATCTGCCAACGCTTTGCTTAAGTTTGGGGCTGGGCATGAAGACTGCTACCATGGGTCACAGTGGCCGCGATCTCCAAGGCAGCAGGGAGTGGCGCAAGCATTCAGGGCCCTGTCCCATGCTCCTGCGTGTGGGAGACCAGGATGGAGTTCTTGAGTCAGGCTTGCCCAGACCTTGCAGCCATCTGGGAAGTGAATCAACAGATGGTACATCTGTTTATTTTGATCTAGTTCTGCTTGCCTTTCAAATTAAATCAATATGTTTTTAAAGATTTCTTTATTTTTATTGGAAAGTCAGATTTACAGAGGGAAGGAGCTTCACTCAGGTTTCCCACATGGATAGCAGGAAGCCCAAACACTTAGTCCATCTTCTGCTGCTTTCCCAGGCATGGAGTTTGATCAGAAATGGAACAGCCAGGGATGTATCCAGAGACCATATCGGGTGCCAGCATCACAGGTAGCAGCTTAGCATGCTGTACCACAGCGTTGGCCCCTACTTGTTGGCACACTCTCTCAAAGATACATTTGGTTTATTTGAAATGCAGAATGACAGAAAAGAGGGAGGGGGAATCTTATCTGTTGGTTCCCTCCGTAAGTGGCCACAGCAGCCATGCCTGGGCCAGACAAAAGCCAGGAGCCTGGAACTCCACCCTGATTGCCAACCATCTTGCCCTTCTTTCCCAGACACAGCAGCAGGGAGCTGGATTGTAAAGAAGCCAGGACTTGAACCAGTGATCCAGTATGTGATGCTAGGAATCTGCAGGCTGTACTCTAGCCTTTGTGCCCCATGTCCCAAGAGTCCTCTCCTTTTGCAAAGAAGTACCTGTCACCAAGTGCCCCCAGCATGGACCTGCCATCTGGCTTCAGAGTCAGGGTCCTCCATGATGGTCCCCAGTGTACCTGTGCTGCCTAAGGTCTGCATTCGAAACACAGTGCTCTTTCTTGGACATGAAATTAAACCCTTATTCAGCTTGTTGCCTTGGATACTGCAAGCAGTCCTCCTCTGAGCAGAAGAAAGCACCTTTGCTCTGTGCTGGAGAAAGAGATCTTTGCATGTCAGACTTTCATTGCTTCTAAAAGAATATTGCTTTTTTAAAACAAGAGAGCGGGAAAGCAGTCGAGGACAGCCCAAAGCTTTGGGAGCCTGCACCCGCGTGGGAGACCCGGAAGAGGCTCCTGGCTTCGGACCGGCATAGTATCGACCCGTTGCGCTCACTTGGGGAGTGAATCATTGGACGGAAGATCTTCCTCTCTGTCTCTCCTCTCTGTATATCCGCCTTTCCAATGAAAAAATAATAAAACTAAATCTTTAAAAAAAAAAAAAAAAACAAGAGAGGGCCTGGCACAGTGGCCTAGCAGCTAAAGTCCTCAACTTGAACGCACCAGGATCCCATATGAGTGTCGGTTCTAATCCCGGCAGCCCTGCTTCCCATCCAGCTCCCTGCTTGTGGCCCGGGAAAGCAGTTGAGCACAGCCCAAAGCCTTGGGATCCTGCACCCGCGTGGGAGACCCGGAAGAGGCTCCTGGCTCCTGGCTTCGGATCAGTGCAGCTCCAGCAATCATGGTCACTTGGGGAGTGAATCATCACATAAAAGATCTTCCTCTCTGTCTCTCCTCTGTGTATATCCGCCTTTCCAAAAAAATAAATCTTTAAAAAAGAGAGAGCAGAAGGTATCATAGTTGATGCTTGTGAAATAATTTGCAAGCCAAATCCTCAGCAGCATTTGACAGCAAACATGGGGGTTGCAACTTTAGATTTGGGTCAGCTTCTTCAGAAAGGAAGATGTGGGGTTGGAGTTGATGGAGTGAACTACATGCTGTGTTTCATTTCCCTGCTGGAATTGCAATATGGAGCAGGCCTTCTTCACTTTGGCAGTGTTGACACTGGGGATCTATCTCTTTTGGCGACAGTTTCCTGTGTGTATATTGCCATGTATTCAGCAGCCACTCTGCCTTCAACCCAGCAATTGCCAGTAACATCTCTTCCCCCTGACCCTGAATTGTGACAGCCAAAAATGTTTCCAAGTATTTCTAGTGTCCTCTGGGAGGTCTTAGTCCGTTTTCTGTTGCTATAAAAAAAAAAAATACCACCGACTGGGCAATTTGGAAAGGTTGAAAGGCTGGCTCCTGATTTTAGAGAT